TCATGTGCATTTGCGTGCTAACTTCTGCACGCTCCTAACCCTGGTGCTTGTACAACCAGTACAATCGTGCAAGCAAAGAGGTGACTGCAGTCTCATGCACTGAATTTTCCGGACGGAGATGCCCCAGATTGGATTGTCACATGAGTGAACTGGGCAGGCTCAGCACAGATTTGTTATATGGGAAAAGTTCTTGGAGATGCATTTAGATTTCAGAGCATCCGCAACAAAAGGAGAGAACTGTCAATACTCTGATGATGCTTTAGGATTTTTTTGGTCTTCTGCTTTTCACTCCCTCCCTCCCCCCTAGTTTGCTTAGACATGGCAGGGCCTTTTTAGAGAGGCAGTTCGCCGTGGTAGCCTGAAGTTAGGCAGGAGGCAGGTGTAGATACACACCTTATAGACAAATTAAATAAAATGTATATTGAGCACACCTTTTTGTGAACTTGATATCACTCCATCCAGGGCGTTTTAACCAAACAGACTGTAAGCGAGCTGCATTTCTTATAACTTTAGGTGAAGTGCAACATTTAGACTTAACCACGTGAGCAGGACAGGGAGAAACTCTCTGCCTTATTTCAGCTAAGCCCACCCATAGGTTTTGTGCATGAGACCTGATTGATTGCTTTCCCCAGGACAGCCATGCACCCTTTTCCCCCACCCCTGAAGTGGATGTGTTTATCCAGACCCCCTTGTCAGGTGCCAGATCCTATTCAGAACTGGTTTCTAATGCAGCCAGCTATAGTGCAGGTCAAAACTGAGGTCAGGATGCTTGGACCACCACTTAGCATCTGCAAATGATGGACAATTATTCTGTAGACCTTGTGGGATAGGGTACGCTGTGTCCTGCAGTGCTGATGGCTCTGCTCTGAACTCCTTCCAGTTTGCGACGAGCACTCGGACTACAAGGATGCCAAGCTGCTGTACCGCTTCCGCAAGGACGACGGGACTTTCCCTCTCAACAAAGATGTGAAGGTCTTCATGAGGGGGCAGAGCCTGTACGAGAAGTACGTGAGTCCTTCCTTGCATGATTTATTGCCATGCGATGACCTTGCTGAAGCTTCAGGGGCCTTCGCTGCTGCTGCTCTTTCTCCTTTGCACCCTGCATGCTGACACCACCAGTTACCTGCACCCGATGTCTTGCTCTCCTTGTCGCTGCAGCAAAGCAACAGGCTTAGGTGGAGTTCAGAGGTGGATGTGAGCAGGATGCAAAGCCTGAGTCCACGGATGCTGTGGAGGGTCTGTGTTCAGATCCAGGCCTAAACTTCACAGCCTGGAGCCATCAGTAATGAGCATGGGCTTCCCCGCTACCCATGGGGAACTATCTGAAGATTTGCAAGCCCCAAATTCAATTCCTGGTTCAGCCACAGCCTTGGGGAAGTCCTTTTGCCTCTGTGCCTCAGTTGCACATCTGTAAAATGGGTATTCTGGCACGTCCCTGCTTCCTCAGGGTTGTTGTTAAGATAAACACACAAATCATTTCAAGTGAAACACAAATTTTCATTTCGGAAGGGAAACTCTTCTCTGTTTCAGTGTTTTTGATTAGATATTTCTGTCCATCAGCTCTTGTTCTAAATCTGGGAAATTGTTTTCTGTGAATCACATTCAGCCCTTTTTATCTGAACTTGTTTTGCCCCCTAAATCACCTCTGTACTTTGCTGTTTTGACTGCCCTCTTATAGTTTCATAGTTTCTAGGGTTGGAAGGGACCTGAGTAGATCACTAAGTCCGATCCCCTGCCATGGCAGGAAAGAGTACTGGGGTCAAATGACCCCAGCAAGGTGTACATCCAGCCTCCTCTTAAAGCCCCCCAG